ATGAGGATGATTCCGAATCGGGTTTGGTCGGTGCATGTGGTGGATGAGAGGAAGAAGGTGGAGGAGGGAGAGGAGGAGGAGGTGGTGTGGTGGTGGTGGTGGTGATGTTGGTTTTGGCGGTGGCTGATCAGAGGTGGCTGGGAAAGGGAGTGCTGGAGGAGTTGTGGTGGTCGGACTGAGCACTGTTTGAGTACAGTTGCGAAAAAACCCGCAAGAAAAAAGTGGACGCGGCGCAGTTTTTAGCTTGGGGTGTTGAGATTTCATTGTGGCAATAATAATGCACGAAAACACTTCAACAGTAGTGCAATTTGTGCAGCAAAAGAGACTTCATAACATCATCATAAAAAACAAATAAATAAACAAGCTGATAATCCTAAAACTCAGATTTATGTTGCTTTTACTGTGTGTTTTGTGAGTGTGACAGTGCGTGAGCCGTGGGAGTGAATCTGCTTCTATGAGTTGTTGGTTTCAGAGAGTAGTTTAGTGCTTTGGGGTCGTGAGGAGGGTCATAGTTACCGACATTTTAGTGAAGTTTGGGAGATTTGAACTGTGAAAGTATGATTCTTTGGATCAATCCATTTCATCTTTGATCACTTGGTTGAAATGACAGCGTATCTAACTATCAACTTGGATGTGGGGACTGAGGACAGATTCATACCAGCCTTCCCTGTCTCCTTCTGAGGACGTACCTACATTATTGATCACACACATTTGAGGAATGTTATGGTATGAAAGAATTACTCTTGGGTTCCTCTATTTGCATATTCTTTCGACTTGGTTTGTCAAATCTATGAGAATCTAATTGCATTTTGCATGTACCTCAGTACCTCACTAACAAACTTGCAAAACATTTTTGGGTCAAAATATTGGATTTAAGATCAATGCATGGTTGTCATTTCCTTCTTTCTACTCCAATTTTTGCCTTGAATCCTACTAAAAGTACTGCAACCATCACATTTTCTAAACCATGCATAGGATTTGTAATTTAGATCGTAAATTTCCAAATCAATGGAAAGTAAGGTCTCATTGAACAATTTAATATAACTATCATGGTTGATGTGATAATGAGTAAAAACTTATCAATTTACTATATCATTTTCGAGTGTCCAATTAACATACCAAGATTCTTATTGTCAACTTTATCAAGGGTGAGTCACATTGTCATGAACTGTCGCATGAGTACTTGCTTAGTAATTTGGAGTGAATCTGGTGAGATAAAGTAATGCACTTGATGGATCCTCACAGAAAGAAGTTCAAGATGAGTGATCTAAGGTGTTCTAAAATTGTCATGGTTTCTTTGTCTTTGGAAAGAGAAAAGGTTAAATCATAACTTCACATCAGGCTTCCCAACATTCCCATTTCCCTTCCCTTTCTAAGCATCACAAGAAAGGGCAGTAATTATTTAGTTGCCTAATTAGTAACATGTATTACATGAGATCTGATTGTTTGTACATGTGCATTGGAAGAATAAACAGTCTAATGAATTTGGAATTGTGGCAATTTTTTGTCCTCCAATATCACTAGGATCCTCTACGATATTTACTTAGAATTAAACATACTTAGATAACAATATATTAATGCACTAAAGGGAAACAGATATTTTTTGTACATTTATTGTTTTGCTCAGAAATCGTAACATGTTCAACAGTTTAAACAAGAAAAACGAGGTTTGCGTGTAACATTTGAGTCACAATTGGAAATAACTAAAATTAGACATTGAAGATCTCATTTTAATCATTAGTCTTAACTCTTAATCTACTTTGAAGTTATAAATATATGTACTCATACCCCTAGGTTACCCTCCATTTCATGTGCCTCTCGATTTTGCTGTGAGATATCTTTTCTACAATTTCAGCTAAATCAAATGTTAGTCGTGATGTGCATTTGAAGTTATAAGAACTTTGCTGGATTATTGTGATGGCATCTTTCAGGAGATCATTGTCAGTGGTGCCTCAACATGGAAGTTCAGCAGATGAGGAAGAATATGCAGTAGCATCTTCATTACCTAAATCATCATCGCTGAACTCAGATCACCTGCCAACAGGTGGTTTATTTCTACGTTCTTTCAGTTCATTAGACTATGCACTGTACAAACTTCAAACACTCATTCTTGGCTTATTCCCTAAAAGATCTTCTCGACCCTTAGAAAGGTTCAAATCAAAGGGGAACAGTTGGAGAAGGGCTCTTCTCCATTTCTTGGTATGTTTCCTTATTGGCATACTTATTGAGATTACACCATTTGCTTCACCAACTTTTTCCATGAATCTTTTGGCCAAACATCAGCCTTTCTCCTTGGAGATGCTTCAACAAGTCAATACGATTGGGTTTTATCAACATGATGATCCAAAAAATTTTACATCTGCAGTCGAAAGAGTCGAAATAAATGATAACGATAAACCCAAATCAGCAGGCGCTACTGATGAACGACAAGACGGATTTCCTGTTGGTGATCATCTAACTGATAAAACACTTTATGAAGATCTAAACACCACATTCAATAAGCTTTTGATTATTGTGACCCCAATATATTCTAGGCCATTACAAGCTTATTATTTAAATCGTTTGGCCCAAACATTGGGATTGGTTCCGCCTCCTTTGTTGTGGATAGTTGTGGAGATGACATCTCAATCTGCTGAAACAGCCGAAATTTTGAGGAATTCTGGGGTCATGCATAGGCATCTAATATGCAAAGAGACTTTAACTGGCGCAAATGATAGAGGCATGCTCCTCAGAAATGTAGGTCTTTCTCACATTGAGACACACCAGCTTGATGGTATCATTTATTTTGCTGATGATGACAACATGTACACCACTGATCTCTTTGACCAAATGAGACATATCAGGTCCTCTACTTTTTATAATTGTCCTTGTTCTTCAACAGCTTTTGCCATTTAACTTGTGGTTTTTTTTTTTCTTTAATTTATTCTTTTGTCCTAAATTAATTTTTTTGTCCATTTACCTCTTTCTTTCCCAGAAAACTTAACAATAATTTAATATGTGGCTCTGACTTGTCTCAATCACTTGCGCGAATGATTTACAAGTCAACATGGTTATAAGTTTTATTGCACAAGCTGCATACATAATTTTCAAATGATTATTTTTCTTTCAATTTTTGTTTTCGGGCTCCTCATTGAACAACTTTTTTTTTTCTTCTTTTGATGACTGGTCATCCATCATACTTTTTCTGAACTTAGTGGGTACCACTGAAACTAGCCAACTTGTACAGACATCATACGGACCTTCTGCATTAGATTTGTTTTTGGATGATTACACTCTTTTCACTTGTAGCTTTTATATGGTTCTGTGTTCTAATAGTTAGCTTACAAAAATTTAAAAAGTAGGAACTAAATGTTCAAGGGTTTACCAGTTTAGAAATACCAGTCTTTTCTTTTCTTTTGTGTGTGTGTGTGTGTGTTGGGGGGGGGGTGGGTTTCCTCTCAATTGATAGTTTTTCTTGATTGTTAACTCTTGCATATGCAGGCGGTTTGGTACGTGGATAGTAGCTAAACTAGTGGGAAAAAATACGCATGCGATTATGGAGGGTCCAATTTGTAATGGCTCTCAGGTTACGGGATGGCATTTGAATGAAAGGTCAAATAAGTTTCAAAAATTCCACTTAGGATTATCAGGGTTTGCCTTCAATAGTACTTTACTTTGGGATCCAAAGAGATGGCATCGCCGCCCACTTCAGCCAATCAGGCTGCATGATTCAGTCAAAGATGCACCATTCCCGGTGAGTTGTTTCTTTCCTTTTTCTTTGTAATGTTAATCAGCATGATTTTATTCCTCCCCCCGGGCGCCCCGGAGATCGACTGGTTTCCACAGAGGCAGGTCACTGGATCTACCCCGGGAGAGCTAACGTGCCGGGAACTTTGGGGTGGGGCTCTCATAGTCACATGAAATTAGTCGGGTCCAATGATTCCGGACACCTCGTATCGAAAAAAATATATGTAATAATTAGTAAGGATAAAATTTATATACACCAAAAAAATATCTTTAAGTGGGATTGGATGCATCACAGCTAATCACAATTTCAATTTAAATATTATATTTTGCATACGTTACATGTATTCAACTCTATTTGTATATTTATTGTCAATGACTCAATGTATATTTAATTAGTTTATCCAATTAGTGAAGAGAAGAAAAGAATAGAGGAGAAAAAACACATGATTTAGAAGAGAAGGGGGGAAGTACCAAATGCAATTTATTTATTTGTTGTATGTTTTATCTAGTCAAGGATGTTTAAGTAGTTTTGCATATATTGCAGGTTAGCAGGTTCATCGAACAAATTGTGGAGGGCCAGAACGAAATGGAATGTTTACCACTGGCTTGCTCGAGGGCAATGGTTTGGCGCCTTGATGGGGAATTTTTGTATTCTTTTCCTCATGAAAATTCTACAAGAAGTAGCTTAATTCTGCATTGGCTGAACGGGGTATTAGATTTTGCCATCATAAAGAACTTGATTCATTAAGATGTTTATGCTTCCAGATTCAGACAGCCATTCTCGGATTTGTTTCTCATATGATTTTATACTAATTAGTTTCTTTACGTATAACAAACCAATGTCTAATTAACTTGCAGATCTGATATTGTAGTGATAATGTCCTTTCTTTTCTTTTCTTTTTCCCTTCTATTTCTTTCTTATCCAACGAATATCTCATGTATGCTTTTAATATAATGTCGTATGTGCATACAGACGTAAATGAATCTCATCAAGTCAAATATCTTAGTGCTCAAACTTGTTTAATAATTTTAACGAGCTTGAAGTTAATTTTAAATTTGACTTGTTTATTTACCAAACTAAATTCAAATGAATTTTAATCGAAACGACCTCGAGAAGTTTGAAGTTTTTACCTATAAATTTTAATTTTATACAAATCAAATCAACTTGAATATCGAGTAACTTATTTCGTCTTTGACTTCTATATATGCATGCATGACTTTCAGTCTTAACGAACATATCATCACAACCAACTGCATTCATACCAGGATTGATATTACCGTTCAACAGCATCAATGTCATCGGCTCTAATCAACACCGTTTTCTTCAACTCTTCCAATGAAGCTTTATATTGTTGAAGCTCCTCCAACCCCATATTATCAATTGGTTCATCCCACCAAAAACTCCCATTATTCTCTACCTTCGACCCTTCAATGGTTTCCTTTCTTTTTCTCTCAATCTCCAATTCTTCAGAAACTTTGGCATAGTGTTGGTTGTGTTCTTGTATCTCAGCAACCAATGAGGTGTTCCGATCAGCAACACATGATGATGATGCTGATGCAGTGGTATACTTGTTAATAACAGCATCAATGTTGGGGTGGCCAAATGCAAATACACCCTTGCCCAAAGAATGAACCAATTGCAACTTCTGCGCCGGTTAAGATGCAAAGTTCACTAGCTTTCTTCAAAAGACCGGCTCTCCTCTTGGAGAAGGTTACTTGCCTGTTGCTCAAGTCGTCTATCATCTTGATTTCGATCTTTTTCCGACCTCGGGTCGTCGTCTTCTTCATCATCATGTTGTTCATTCTGGGTTTTTGGTGGGATTTTGAGGAATTCAGGAATAGCTACATTTCTTTAGTATCCTATTATACGAGTTTGAACCTTCCTTAATATCTGCCTGTAATTTTCTTTCCCAAACACTTCAAAGATTTTATCCTGATTCTGAAGATATATTCTTTCCAGTTTTTCCGTTGTTTCACCCTCCAATTTTATCCTTGATTGATGGATTAGTCTTAGAAATAATCCTACTATATATTGTTCCACCACCTTCCTTAATATTTACCTGTAATATTGTTACTTGAAAAATTTTAAGATATATACTATATTAACCAGTTTTCCATTGTTTCGCCCTCTAAATTTCTCCTAGATTGATATTCCATCTGTTCCACTTTAATATTCTTGATTTCTTGATTTTTTTTCACCTAATTTAAAAAAAATTAGTTAACTTCATTGGAAGAATACTATTTTTCTAAAATATCCTTGTATTAATATTAGTAGTACAACTAAATATTATACCTTTATATTAATTGCAACAATAATATTGATCAAAAAATGTATTATTCAAGGTATGAATCAAAGCAATTAATGAATAAGGTAAGTTATATTTACTGTAACCAAATATATTAAATAAGGACATTTTAGAGAAGTTAAAAGTTTTCAATTGAAAAGTCAACTAAAATTTCAAACGAATGAAAATGGAAAACAAGACTATCTGAGACGAGCGGAATATTTTATTTTATATAGCCTACTTTTTTTTGTCAAAATATATATAGCCTACTTAACTTGAACTAAATTTGGATATACACCTAGTAGTGAAGGGAGCTAATTAGGTGCTTAAATTTCATAAATGCAAGTTCTTTGCACCGACTTACTGAAATTAAAGGACCTTTAACTGAAAATGCAGGAAAAAGGATTAAGTGTCAGAGTTGGAATTGTGGTTAAGCAGTACTTTCTTAAAGGTCAAGGGTGTAGATTAAGATAATTTGTGAGAATACATAACTACAATAAGCAACGGTAATTGAAAAAAAAAATGAAATACACCTTGCTAAGGACTATAATCTATTTCCTTCTATATCGCGTTAAGAGAAAAAATAAGTACTTGCTACTTAAACTAAATGTGACATGAATTATACATTATATATTATTCGTGAAGAAAATGATAGAATCCACACATAATATTGGTGAGTTTAATTAATTTCAATACCTGCATGCAAATTATACCCACCAAGAGATAAACTAAGAACAGTGCTCAGATAAATAATGATTTTCACTTTTGTTGCTAATGAATTAGTACAAAATTCTCCATCTTCCCCAAGATAGAGAGGGTAGTAATCCCCAAGCACAAAATTTCTAGGTTACCGTCGGTGCAAGGTGAAATTAATGTTGTGGCAACGACTTTGATCTGCTACGGAAGTTCAGTATCTCATGCATACCATTTCTTCTTCAATCATGCCCAATTTTATAACTGTTGCTAAAATCGGTATGTTTTACCACAAAATCTGCAGTGGAAGAGCTTCTTTATGATGCTTCTGATGTTCCCTTCTCTTCCCTTGAATTGCACAGAAGGAGTTTCAATTCCTAGGTTCTCTAGTTTTGTTTTTGTGCTCAGATAACTAAGGATCACCACTTTCTTGTACGCCCTTTCTCTAGTCTAGTTCTAATAATGAAGCAATCCTCAGACTTAAGTGGGATTCAATTAGGTATTATTCAGTGCTAGCTACTTGCATTATTGATCAAGTGGGCTGCAATCAAGAACCAAATGTGACAGGCTACACATGGATCTCTCAGCTCACCATCATAATTTAGCACTTTTGGTTGGTTAGCAAGCAACAGAAGTTGCCAAATGCAATTAGTAATATGATAAAAGTTCTGGACTTGCGGATAGCTGGAGTGCAGGGCAATTGGGGACCAATTATATAGCTTGGGGGGTTTAGCCAAAGCTTTTTTTTTTTTTGTTTCCCTGCAGCAGATATAGGGGTAACTTGTAGTTACATAGCTGGCTTTTGTTCTAAAGCATTGCATAACCATAAATTTGCTTCTTATCCAGATTAAGTCATTAATGAATTTATTAGTCTACATTAAGAAGAGAATTTTGGTTTGCACTTCATTTCACGAAAGTTTGCATTTTCAATCTTCCTACAAGAATAATCCTGCAGGTACTTAAGGTATGCTAGATTGATTACAGATCGATCCTATCCTTGTTTTGCTGATGACCATTTCCTAGTCAATTTTTTTAAATAGTTATTAATCTTTTTCGTAAAAGATTTCAGTCGAGCACTGTTTAGTTCCACGATAAACGAATTTTAAGAACAGTAACCATTACATTGGTCTCAAGAAATGGCGTAGCTATCGCATGTCTTCATCCTCCAAGGTCAAATGGTAGTAACATGAAAAAGAATAAAATTAGGCCATGTAAAAGCTTCAACAATTGAAGCTAAGATCTTTACAGCTGATTGATAAGACAATGGTTCTACGTAGCTGGTTAGGTTTTTTGGTAAGTTAGACAATCACCATATCCAAATGGAAGCATAAGGTAAACAGCATAGATTTATCAGAAACAAAAACCAACTTTTATCCTCATTGCAGGGGCCACAACTACCAAATTCAACACATCTATACAGAAAATGAAGAGATAGCTAGATTTAAGTTCACAAGTTCAATCCACTCTCGTCCGCTCTCTAAATTCTCTTTTTTCTCTCTAACTTCCACCACTTTTCTCAAACGAAACAATATCTTACTTCATGGGAGGAGGGAGGCCTTTTGATCTCCCTCCCTCCTCTCAATGACTTCCTTTTATGTTTGTAGATAATAAAGTCTTCTCTAGAATTTCTAATGAGAGTATAATATTGTTCTCCCTAGGTTTGCACTGAGAGTATTCTCTTAGTTTCATACTTTTCATTTTTTTTTCTTTGTCTAATCTCAATTTTTTCAGATCTATTTGTTAGATCTGAAATTGCTGAATCTATTTTGTCAAATCTCAAATTCATATAAGGGTTTGAAGTAGTTAAACAGTAGATTTCATGAGAAAAAATAAGTACAGATGTTCGTTAGATTAAAGAGATTGATATCACTTGAATTACGTTAAAAATTTTATTTGTAATTTCTTAGATTTGATGTATTTGTAGATCATTCAGATTTATCACTTTTGTGACGTGTTTGATGATATATTTTCTGCCATTAATGCATAAATCATGAGTGAAATTATGATTTTTGTTAGAAAAAAAAAAAAAAAACAAAGGGCAAATGAAGACATAGATGAACTTCTAATGTTGGCTGATATAGGTTTCCCTTTCCCATCAGGGTTTGAATTTTCATTACTCCCCAGCTTGAACTAAACCTTCATCAACAGGCTATTGGCCTGGATTGTCAGGTCCCTCGCCACCTGTCATTGAGTGCTTTAATTAGCCAAAAGAACTACTTGGTCCTCAAAGCAGGCAGAAACACAACAAAACTGTTAACCACTCAATATAGGCCAATGAATATCAGACAGAAAAACCATATTTCGTGCAGCCCATTTTATACTCAAATGCATGCAGATCTTGTCCCAAAATTTCACTCCATCGCAACAAGGAAATACAAATTAGGGTCTAAAGTGATAGGTAACATACAAGTTAGATGTTCTTTCGTTAGCCTTTGGCATTAATTCGATTGAACCAAGTTAGAGATTGAAGAATTAATACAAACATATAGCTTTAACCGAGCTAGAAATAATTAACCCTTTTCCACAGCATCAAATATGAACGGATCTAAAGTGGAACTAACCCTTCTGATTAGCTATTAAACGGGAATTGTAGCCTTCTCAACATCGTTTTCATTTTGATTTCTCACTTGTGCTTCGTAGACATCTCATAAAGCTTGTTGTTTATCATTAGTAGAATACAAGAAGACGATTGCACATTGATTTAGAATCCGTTTGGACGGATGTTCTTTAGGGTATTTTTATACAATTTTGAAATTATAAGTAAATAATTCTTTGTAAGAACATTTTCTATGACATTTCTAGGAGTGTCTTTTAGATTTTTCTTTTTTTTTTTTGGGTTAGAAAACAGGACGAAAAGAGACTACATACAAGTTGAAATTTTGTACCTCCAAATTTGTATCACTTTTGCATTTTGCCATCCTAAACTTTAATTTTAGACACTTTACATTCTAAACTCTTAATGTTAGATACTTTGCATCCTAAACTCTCAAATTTGTCCTATTTAAATCCAATCAATGATAACTTTAGTAAAATGAACGGCATAGAGGATCCAATAAATCAATAACAATGTGCCAAAAGTAGTCAAAAGGTGCTAAGTTATTATAACAAAAATAAAACAATACATTATCATTAATCTATACCATCTTTTATCTCACTAATTTTGGTAACAATATTAGTAATTGAGACATTATAGATCAACGATAATGTACAAAAAGTGGTCAAAAAAATTAAAGGATTACGGTTCAAATAAAACGGTACATTACCACTAATTTTCACCACCCTTTAATTCATCAAGTTTGCGAACGTAGTCATTGATTGGATTTAAATTGGACAAACTTGATAGTTTAAGGTGTAGGGTATCCAAAATTAAGAGTTTAGAGCGCAAAGTGTCTAAAATTAAAATTTAGGGTGCAAATTTAAGGATATAAAATAAAATTAGTCCACTTTTGCCCGTCAGTCTAGTTTTTTGTAATTCTTACAATGTAAGATGTATAACAATATAACTTTGATATAAATCTAAATTTTATTAACTCATACAATTATTTCTTGATTAACAAATTTATATTAAAAATTTTTAAATTTATAGTAACTATAGATTGAAGTGAATAAAAATAAGGAGGGGAAATGAATTGGTTTTTTTTTTTTTTTGTCAGCAACGATACATTTGTATAATCTACTCTATCCTAATCTAGGAGGAAGGGAGCCGAAGGAGGCTGTTGTAGGGGCTAGTGGATACACAGACCCAACTAAATCAAGAAAATGTTATGACACAATCCTTAAATTTTTTTTGCTGCCGGTGAGATTTGAATCCTAGCCAACAAGGGG